AGTGAAGGCTACAAGACTGTAACTATTTTGATTAAAAAGTTATAAACATTTTACCCGACTGCATTTTCATTCCGTTCTTATTTTGCATAAGTGTCATATGATTTTTACTGATGAAACCATTGACAGTGTATTCTATTTACTTGTTAATATATTCCTTTTTCAATAATATGAAAAACAATTATATTTATTCATTTAAGATGTTAACAAAAAGGCAATTGTTAATACTCTGATTTTTCGACATACTATTTAAGATGAACATACGCTAATGTCGAAGATTTGCCTTATTCGAAATTATTTATTCCGCCCTAATTATTGTTGATTGGAAATAAAGTCTTTTTTTTTCTTACGAACTATAAGGTTGACATATGCCATTCGATTGCTGTTCTTTTAATGTTTGTCTTTTAAATAATACATTGTATAAGTGGTCAATTAAGAGATCGTTTCGTGTTCTCCGTTTTTCTTTCTAGAGGACACATTCTCTAACGAAAACAAGTGAAAAAAAAAGTGCGAAATACTTATATCACCTTAGTTTTTTTCTTCTATCGATGATCGAACAATAGGTTAAAATACATTAATCATCTACTTGAATATGTATCGTTTTTTTTGCAATGTTTTTATTGTCAAGGTAAAAAAAAAATTTAGACACATTAGATGTATAAAATTTGATCAACTATGCTAAATAGACGAGAAAACGAAAAGAGAGCGTGTGAGCATGGAATAAAGATGTTTGACATCGAATGTGTCGAAAGAATAAAAGTTTTTTCTTCTTCTTCTTCTTCTATTTCTTTTCAATTGTTCGAAAGCAAAAACTTTTTTCTGTTGTTTCTTATTATTTCTTGTCATTTTATTATACACAAAGATATCAACTACTACTATATAGTGATTATTCAATTTTAGTATCAATTATATTATGATAGATATTCATTGAAAATTAATAAACTTTATTCAATATGCCTAACAATTGTTCTGATCTTATACAGCGCAAACAGAATATTCTTCATAAACTTTTACGAAGTCGGAGTGAACGTAAATCTTTAAATGGTGAGAATAAAGTTCTTCTTTTCTTTGTGTATATAATCAGAATTTTGTTTGTTGAAACCATATACTAAGAAATAAGATGATCATATTGAAATTAAGGTCATATCATAAATTACAATTTTTCTATTTGACTTTATTATTTACATACAGAAGTTTTATAATATTAATAAATGATATATATGTTAGTTGATAAACTTGACTTATATTTTAAAATAAGAAGGATATTAAAATATATTACCTTGACACTCATATTGTAGAATGTAAAAATTAGTTGAAGAAAATAAAAACTATAAAACCGTAGTCTCAATAGGTTATTTGTTAAATGTTTTTTTAACTTAACAAAATTATTTTTTAAATAAACATTTTTTGTGAGTATTATACATATACTTTAATTACCTGGTTTTAAATAATAATAATAAAAAAAGAAGAAAATATTCTAGAGACAGTCGTTGTTGTTTTTTCTTAGTTGTTACTGAAACTACTTCTAATTTACGTATTTCTGTGGAACGAAAACCTTTGGATCGTTCACCATCTTCCAATCATTTACAACCTGATTCAGCCGGATCATCTCCTACTCGTCGAACAAATTTATTTACTACAAATCGTATTCAACCAACAAATACACATATCTATGAAAAACATTTACCATTAATTCGAGATATATCCGGTACATCATTACATCAACATCGATTATATGATGATGGATATCCTCGTTCTCGTTCAAAAACTCCGATTGGAGGTACTAGTCCAAAAAGTGCACAACGTTCATTATCGGCATCGATTTCATCTATTTTTAATACACTTTCAAAACGTTCACAAGAAAATGTTATGGGTTCAAATGGTGATATAAATGAATTAAAAATAACATCTAGTCGCCGTTCACGACAATTAAGTAATGATAGTAGTAAATTTGGCGTTGATACAAATCATATTACTACGACAACAAAAAAAATAACAGTGACACCACAAAAACATACAGGTGATGATGGATTAGATAATCGACCCGGAACAAGTCGTCAACAACGATCATCAATGCAATCAGCTAGACCTCGTTTAAATATGCCAAATGTTCAAGTTGAAAGTCCACTTATGCATGAATTATTAACAAAAGAACAAACAAATACTGGTAAATCTATACCTTTTAGATTTAATGCATACTCAATAGTTAGTTATTCTTTTTTTTTGTTAAGGTTCACTTTATCAACGTCGTACAAATAATAGTGTTAGATCACCGATAAAACACAAGATTGATAAATATCGTCGTCGTTCAGAAGAAACAACACAAGCTATAACAGGAAATACAAATACAAATACAGGAAATGTTGGTGTTTCTACAACAACATTAACATTAGGTAGTCCATCATCAATACGTTCAAAACCACAACCATCTCCAACATCAATTCGTCGTGTTACGTCAGATGCAGAAATTCAAACTCGACATGATAATATTCGTACATCAATGGAGTCTAATGTTATTCATGCAGATCATCCTCGTGTTAAATCTGTACATATACATGCTACACATCAAGAATTAGTTCCACCAGCAACTACTACTCATACGACATCAGCATCTCAGCGTCGAAATCCTCCAATACCTTTGGCTACTGCTGTACAACAACGTCCAAGTACGAATAATGTTAAACATCGACAACAACGATTATCATCTGCAAAACAAACAGCAGGAACCAGTCAAGGAAATCTTTATTTAGCTTTTATAGCATCACGTCATTTATCAACATTAGAAGATACACCTGAATGTGATATAGATCATCCAAGATTAATACAGATATTTTCTTGGCTTAGAAATGTTGAAAAACATCGTCATGAACAAGCCGATTATGATGCATTAATAATTGAACAAGATCAACGTATGTTAGATCAAGAAGAAGATTTTTCATTATATTCTGAAATACAACATGCTGTTGATGATGTACCAGCAAATACAACTGGTGAACCATGTGAAAGAATTGCAACAATGGCATTTGAAGATTAAATTTTTTATATACAGTAACAATGATACCTTGGTACTTTTTATATTTTTCATTTTTTTTCATCATTTTTGTTGACAACGAAATATTGTATAAGCGAACAGTTTTTTTTTAAATTGAATATATAAATCATCACTTTAGTATATTATATTGATATAAATACATAAGATCAATAATTGAAAAAATACGAAAAGTATAAAAAAATGTGAATCTATTCTTTTAAATTAAAAAGTACTATTCTATATGACTTATATATCTTGGTATTTTTCGATAAACTGAATTTATATGTTTATTTCATAAGAGGACATACACCGATACTTATGACTAGTATGCAGCTAGCCAGCACACGGAGAGCTTAATTGATTAAGAGGAAGAACTCAGCGTCAGCCCAGAGCTACAGATAGTAATGATTATGGAGAAAAAATCGAGTTAATAAAATTATCTCCGAACAGTATCCTATCGAAAAATTCTATGCTCAAGTTTTCGTAAAGAAATATTCAACTTACGGAACTGCAAAGTGGTCCCGATCCTAGGACTAAATTTTTCTAAGTTACCGGGACCAAGACTAAAATTGTTAGCTAATTCCTCATTGTTTTTATCAAGTATGAGACCAGACATTTTCTTATTTCTTTTTTTTTCTTTAATTAAGAATTGAAAAATGTGTTATTTTATAGTTCAAGAAAAATCGTATAGATTGAATTTACAATCGACAAAGCGAGAATTTTCGTGAACTTCATATTTTTTTCGCATAGATGAAGACAATACAAGAATTATTTTTATCAAGACCGGGACCGGGACCAAAAAAAGTGATTTTGCAGTTCCCTAATTCTACTTCATCTCTTCATGACGCTTTAAATTATATGTACATGTTTAATTTTAATAAGTATTAAATTTGACTTAATTCTTATAAATCTATTGAGAACTATCGGATGAAGTTAGTTCCTTATCATCATATACAGGTAAACCTTCACCTGTGTAATAGAGTACTGCTTTTGGTAATATACGTTGTTTTAATAATAATCCAAATTCAATATCAGCTTCAAGATGTATTTGATCTTCATCGATCATTTCATGAATACCATCAGTTGGAATAATTGGTGGTGAGAAAAAATCAAAAAAAGATTTAATAGATTTTTCAACTGGTATAAATCGAATTGCTCCTGTTGTTTTATTTCGTATACGTCTATTACGTTTTTGAATTGTAAGATTATGATTAGATGTCCATGTAATCGAACAACCCTGACAATAATCAACTTCCGGTCCATCATAAGATTGATATGGATTTGAATCATTCGATTGAAAACGAATAGAATAATATTTAGTAAGAATTGTTTCAGTAAAAAATGGATTGGATGGTAAAAAATGAAATTCAAGAAGAAAACTTGTTGTTTGAGAATTTGGTGGATTAAGAATACAACGAATATCTCTAAGATATTTTAAGCAAAGTTCATCTTTTGATCGAATAGGATAATCATATGAATCGAGATTCTTAAGAACTGTTAACCAAAAATTTGGTATACCCTTTTCAAGAATATTTGAATGATCTAAATATAGAATTCATTGAAATAATTTTAAGATATTTCGTAATTTATACTTTGTGGAAAATCATTTCTAAATTCCGATAATTGGTATGAACCATCAATAATTTTTCGTCGTTTTTCAAAAAAAATTTCAAATTGAGAACTATATTTATATTGTAATTCTTGAAGTTCTCGATGAAAATCCATCCGTAAATGAAAATATTCTGCTTGATAATTAAGTAAAGCATTTATTCGACGTTGAATATTAGGTTGACAATTTGACCAAACACCTGATGATGAACAATGTATATTTGCTATTATATCGGAAGTTTCTAATTTTGCCATAAAAATAAATAGAGATTTTTTATTCAAATAATCAAACAATCAATTTTGGCGCATATTCTATAGAATTTATCAAACTAAATTTGATCTTTTACTAAATCTTACAATACTAATTGTACTCTTTCCGAATATGAGCTCAGAATAGTGAAGATATTTTTGAAAGGCTTAAAAAGATAGTTTGAACGCAAACTGTTTCGTTACATATCAGCTTGTAGAGCAACATTTTTCCTACAAAATGTCATATTTGTTCACCATTCATATTAATTTTTCTGGAAGTTCAAAGAATTTTCTCATTAATTCCAAGTGAAAATAGGTGTACAATTTTTAAGCGCTTCTTCACAAACTTTTGATCCTCGAACAGGTTCAAAAATGGGTAAACATTATCCCCAAAAATTTTCAATGGATAGTTATATCGTCAAGATGGTTCTTCAGTTTATAAGAGTTTTTGTGGAAGTAATTCTTCCAAAACGTTCCGTTCGTAAGGGTTAAGGACTAACATGAAAAATGTCATAGAGTAGAAAATTCTGATTGTGTTAAGAAATCTTATTCTATACTCACTTAATATCTAAACAATACAATGAAGTTGACAATTGACATAAGTAATAGGTACCTTTTTCAAGTATCCTTCATATAATCATGTGAATCATTTCATTCTCTCTCTATAGAGTGGCAATTAAGCGTTATTTTTCTCAAAATTTGAAAGCTCCTTGAAATCAATTACATTCAACAACTAATCTTTAAATTCATTACACAATAATTCTTCTTCCATATATCTATAAATCTACAAACACTTTGATTTAAATTGAAAACGTTTGATCAACTATCGGTACTCAAAGATAGACATAATCACTAAAAGAAGAGAAGCGTGTGAAAGCATAACATTGTTTCTCACAGCTTAATTTTAAATCTATACTTCTTCTTTTTTATCTTTAAGTGACCACTAGTCATTTGTCAGCTTGATGATTGAAGAATTGTTAATGATGCAGTCAGTCGATTTGAGACGACATGTCAGGAAATTGGATTGGAGAGATACTCGATATGGATGAAGAAGAGGAACGGTCAATTGAACTTTTCGTTTGTATACAAGTCAAATGAAAACAAAAAAAATGAGCTTCTGGTCTTTACTAATGATAATACTGTTTATAGTATCAAAGCGCATACATGTTTGTTTATTATGAAAAAAAAAGACCGACATATATGATTGTTGTTTTTTTGCGTACTTATATATATATATAGATAAGTTGAATTACTTCTTTTCGTTTATGATAAGTATATATATATTGTTATTCATTATTTTATATAAGAATTATCATAAGATTTTCTCAAGAGATTCGATTCTCAAATGTGTCATTTTATAATAATAGTGTTGGTCATTAGGGGTTACAATAGATTTGTCATTCCTATACATCAACAGCTTGTTTCTTCTATTACTTTTTCTCTTTTTTTTCCGAAGAAAAGACAAAATTTATTCACACCTGAATGATAAAGTGTGAGAAAATCTAATTTTCACCACATAAAAATAACAATCAATTATCAATTGGTAGTGTGACGACATGCGTATATAGACAAAAAAATAATGCTTGTTTGTTTCATGTACTATACACTAGAATACATCGTTATGGCTTCTGGTAAAAAACTAGCTTGAAGGCAAAATTTTGCTTATCAAGTCATTCAATCATTAATCGACATGTCAATTCATATTTCAATCGATGAAATAAGATATTAACGAGATGGGGAGATGTCAAAAATAGTGTAGAGAATAAAACGGAAGTATTTTCTATAGGGATTATCATTATCACGATAGTATTTATAGTTATCTTTCAATCGTTAAAAACAATTTGCCTTGTCTATTGTTTTCTCACATATGTATAAATGTATATACATCCGGATGACATGCAAACTTCCTACTGTGAGAATCTAATTCATTTTTTCTTCTTCTTCTTCTCTTTAAGCAATATGTCTCGAAAAGCAATAGAGAATAAGAATGAATGAACAGCATCGTTAATTGAAGTGACAGTTGACGTAAGTACAGTGCAACTAGAAATTCATTATGTATTCGGCTTTCTCGTCTATTGTTCATGTCGTTTAACATGAAGGAGAATGACCATACACGACATATGATTAGAGGAAAACCACCACCACAAATATTCTCTCATGAGACATCAATATGTCGTCTTTTTTTCTTGCCTTTTTAATGGTTTATTTCGTCCATTCTAGTAGGTTCATAAATATAAGTAAGTTTCTCCTTATGTATCATATGGTACACCTGCTAATGACCCTTTCGAACAAAAAGCTAATTTGATTGCATAAGAGATATAAACAAAAGATCAGAGTCTAGTTGATGAAGCACGATTTTCTAATGATCGATGATTACATACAGTCAGTATGTCACCTATCTTTCTTTTAGTATCATCATCATCATCATCATGTCAAATAAGTCGACGACGCGTGTGTAGTGTTTGTATACATAGACGTACTCTTCTTTTCCTGATAGAGAGAACGATAGACGCCAATCGTATATTTCTTTCTCTTTCTTTTACTGTCTCTCGGTTGAACGCACGAGCGATAGAGAGAGAGGGAGAGAGAGAGAAATCAAATATCACTCAACAAGCTGCTTCATGCAGACATTTATATGAATGTTGCTACTTGTGAGTAAAATCTAATCAGTGACAGGAGTGAGATAATCTGACAACTTTTTTTTGAAACAATTCGTCTGATATTTTTGATTCACTTATCATTATCTCTTTGGACTTTGTAGATGTATATTCTATTGATTTTATTCCTATTACCATCATTTTCTTCTTCTCAAAGTAATGATTTTCAAACAATTTGTCAATCAGGTATTCGTCAAGATAATACCAAGTAAGTTCAAAACAAATTCTCTCATACTAAATAAATATGTTATCTATTTAGTTACATTCATTGTGGTCGTAAACAATTGAAAGAAATACCAAATTTTACTCGTATAACAAATACATTTTATGATGAACTTGTTTTAAATGATAATCAAATAACTGAAATATCAACAAATGCCTTTCAAGGTTTACGTGTTAAACGTTTAAATCTATCTGGTAATAAAATTCGTTCCATATCATCTCAAGCATTTATTGAATTATCCAATTATCTTGAAGAATTAACTATTGAATTTGATTCAAATTATATTACACAAATTCCTGATGCAATAAAAATCAATTTAATAAATTTACGTTCTTTAAAATTAATCGATTTAAATCTTTCCATAATTAAAAATTATACATTTATTAAATTTCGTAAATTAGAATATTTATCGATTATTAAATCCAATATAAAATCGATTGAATCGGATGCATTTATCTCCTTAACAAATTTACGTTATTTAAATCTTGATCAAAATCAATTAAATGATTCATCATGGTATTCCTTAACAAAATATTTATATAATCTTGAAAATTTAATCTTAAGTCAAAATAAATATAATTCATTAAAATCAAGTAATATAACATATTTAAAATATCTTGATTTATCATCGAATGGTTTACAAATAATTGATTCGAATATCTATAATTCATTAGAGAAACTTTATCTACAAAATAATGAATTAAATTCTTTACAATTAATATTTTTATTTCGGTTAAATAATTTAAAAGAATTAAATTTAGATTTTAATCGTTTGACATTTTTACCGGAGAAAATCTTTCAAACAAATTCGTATCTACAAGATTTATCATTACAAGGAAATGATTTGAATTATTTAACAAATTATTCATTCTATGGTTTGAAATATTTAAAACATTTAAATTTAGCACGGAATCGTTTACAATTTTCATCGAGTTTTCAACCATTTCAATCACTTAAATCGTTGGAAATATTAAATCTTGATAGAAATTTACAAATGAATTTAACAAAACCAATTCTTGAAGATTTATCATTAAGTTTGACTGAATTATCATTACAAAATTGTAATTTAACACAAATAAATTATTCATTTGAATTTTTAATTAAACTTCAACGTTTAAAATTATCGTCGAATTATTTAAAAGCTTTACCAAATTATTTTCTGAATAATTCTGTTATATCAATTGATTTACAAAGAAATTTTTTTCATTCAATACCAAATTTATTTCAAAATCATTCATCAGCTAGTTTAAGTGATATTGATCTTAGTTCAAATCAAATATCGACAATAGATGAAAATGATTTTCGAAAATTTCTAAGATTAAAAACAATCGGTTTAACAGGAAATCCATTAAATTGTGATTGTCATCTACGATGGATTAAACAATGGTTAAAAAATAATTATGAACAAGATTTAATGAAATTTTTACAATGGACTTGTGATAAACCAAAAAATCTTTTAGGTAAACAATTAACAACGATACATGAACAAGATATGATATGTTATGAAAACAAATATACTGAAGAAGATATAACAACAATGTAAGTATATACAAATTTGTCATCTGATTAATAGATTTTAATGCATATGAATATGATTGTAGACTAGTAGCGTAACGAGGGATGGGTGCCGCCCGGTCGCTAGGAGAAAAAAATACTAGTAATTATCATCATTTACACGACTTTTCATGCGTTTGTTTCAAGGTTCATAGGGCACTCGCGATTTTCTGGTTACGCCATTACAATTTTCTGTAAAATTCTGCATCGAATCTGATTAAGAAATGCGACACATGATTCTCTATATTATTGACTTCGTGTGCAGTGTCAATATGCATTAGATAAACTATTGACATTGATGTGTCTATTACTTAGCAGCAATGGATTAGGTATATTAGTTTATAATTCAAATCGGAAATTAATATCAAGATACTTAATAAAATAGATCTATGAGATAAATTTCATGCTACCCCGTAGGCTTATCGCCCACTGCAAGGATCGGTTTCTTCTATTTCTATCGACCTTCCACTAAATCTCTTATTCTGATTTTATATATATATAGATTTCCATCAACGAATATTCCGCTGACATCAATTGAAAATATTAATCTATCTACTTCAACAATTGAAACATTATCCAATAGCTTAATAATTAAAGATATTGTATTTAATTCAAATGATATATTAATTATCTCATGGGAATATATGTCATTACGATTACCGAAATATTATCAAATACAAATATATAATGAAAATCATAAGTATTTAATATTTCATCGTTTAATTGATGGTCGACAAAAATCAATTGAAATTGATATATCATCTCATCTTACAAATTATCCAATGACTTACATTATCTGTATTAATCTTCGACAGAAAAAAACTTGTCGAAATATAATTTTACAAACAAATAGAAATTCAATAAAATCAGCATCCATTATTTTATCACCAGATAAACAAAATAATGAACAATTTGTTTATCTTCTTGGTGGTATACTTCTTGGAGCTGTTCTTGTTTGTTTTATATTAATAGTTATATGTTACTGTCGTTTACGTCAACATTCAAAAGACAAGAAAAAATTATCAATAAATTCAAATGAAAAAATCCCGAAAACTTTTTATTATCATCCATTAAATGTAATTAGTTACCCACAACAACAAAGTAATACAACAAGTGAATGTTCATTACACTCATCAACGGATACAACAAGTCATTTAACTAATGATTCGTATCATGTATATCAAAAAATACCATCTGTACATAATTGTCAAATACATTCAACAAGGACACATGTTCTAGTTTAACAAAAAAATTCATATTTATTTTTTTCTTCTTGAACCAGTCATTATGCGCGTATGGTTTTATAGTAATAATAATAAAAAAGAAACGAACCTTTTTTTTGTTTCGTATGTTCTACGATTTTCATCAAGATTTTTTTTATTTTCTCTCATTTCATGCTATAATGACCATAGCTAATAGCTATTGGCATTGTTTGAAAAAAAAGCCGGGGCTATCTTTATTCTAGCATATAATTATCTCGAATAGAAAAAGAATGTTTTTCTTATATCAGATATCTTTCAATGATTACGTTAGTTTCCCTACAAGCAAAATGATAGAATATTAACAAAAGTATTAAATACTATTGACCTTTTCAACTGATATCTATAAATATGAACCTTGAGGATCGATTTCTGCATATTTATATCAATGTTTTATTTTTCTTATCAAACAAGTTCAATGATTAATGACACGCGAATCGAAACAAACCATTTGTCCCTTTTTTGTTACATTTGATTTAAAATAGGATTCATTCAAAATAAAGAATAAAATGTTTTGCACAACTTCAAGAGATTATTGTTATGATTGACTGATAGACACACACATCTTCTTTTCAATGAAGCGATCAATCGATAAAAATGCACAATGCTTTTCTTTTTCTTCTTATCTATCTGTCTGTCTGATTGTCTGTTGTCATCAATTATATTCCCTGTAATGATCAATAAAATCAATTTTCATACCTGCTGGGTGACAGTCAATCGTATTTGCAATACAAACAAATATACATTCGACTTTCTTTTATCATTTCAAGAGCATGTATCTTCTTTTTTTCTTTTGCATGTCTATATCACATTAGATGTCCAACTGTGATTAAATGATTGATAATTATATTATATTCTTTTCTAATCATGAACACATATGCTTATATTATTTTAAGAAAATGTACAAATTTCGATGTTATTTTTATAGCTTTACAATGAAATATTAATGAATTTTATATTGAAATGAATAGCCTTAGGTATAACTATATATAATACATAGGTATTTCTGGAATTTCTTCTATTAAGGTGATGTGTTGATATATTATCGAGATATTAAATGATTGAACAACTGTATGTCCAGAAGTGATAATCCCAAGTGGCTCATTTCTAATCGATGCTATATTGAAGATATCTACTAGTGCTATTTTAGAACACGGCAACCGACAGAATGCTTGTAACTTTTTAACTATCCTCGGTCCCTTCTCTCGAATAGTGAAGGTGATATGACTTTAGCTATCTTGATTAAAACGTTGTAAGCAATTTGCTTGATGGCCATTTTTCTAAAATTCCGATAGTATTATTTTTACATATTATATCATACTATCGAATCTAGCAAGATATTCATTTCTCTGTTTTTAATCATTACAGGTCATTGATGCGATCATATATCTTCCACATGTAGCAAATCGATGATAAGAAGGAGAAATGAGCTCCGTTCTATATTTCAACGTTAGCGAATCATTTTCTGTCTTGCTTGAATAATCTGAGCCTATAAATAAACACTTGTCTACAATGAACTGAACCATTAGCGATTAAAGAAAAAGATAATTCATTGAGTTTTAGATACAAAATTGAACTTCATATAAGTACTCGATCAAAATGTCAATTTTATGAAATTAACAAGAATTTTTCGCAGATAAATTTTTGTTTTTATTTACATGAATAAAAGTAGCATACAAGTATATGATAATATGTTTGGATTCATAAAAGAATCTAATTATTCGTTACATTGGAGTTTCATAATGAAAAGATATAATATTATTACTATACAAAAAGAAATGAAATTTACTACATGATTGATAAGAATTCATATTAATATCTTAATATATCGTCGATAATTACTATTGATAGCAACCAAAGAAAACGAAATGTTTCTCCGAGAAAGAAGTTTGACATACAATTCAATTTCTATAATGGTCAGCGATGTTGATAATGCTAAATTGTTTGTAAATAAGAGATCTTATCATAGTTCTGTATTGAAAGAAAAAGTATTTGTTCAATTTTGGTGCTTTAATTTACGTTCGAGTAGTTAGAATAAGTTCATTAATAGTTAAATTTGGATTTGAAAATCGTGCAAGTTTTTGTTGATCAACTTCCTCTATATGAAATAAATTCGGAGCCTAGAAGAGAAAATTTTTTGATATTGTAAATTCTTTTTTTTTTGATCAATCCTACTTGAAAAAGTAAAGTAAATGTGCCAATAATTGTAATTGTTGAAAAAACAATAAATTGTAAACGATCAATAACTATAGCAATAAATTTCCATTCATCGCGGATAGATTCAATGAATGCTCTACGTGCACAATGCGAAGCAATAAAACGAATATGAGAAATAGCTTGAATCATTTCTCGTCGCATTTTTGCAACTTGAAGACGATGATGATGATTATGATGAGAATCTAATGGAATAAGATGATTTCCTTCATCGGTAACAAGAAATGATTGCTTTTGTTTTTGATGATGTGAATATTTCGAACGTGAAATTGATTTCGAAAGAGTTGTTGTTGCTCGACGTTTACTTTTTATACGAGGAATAAATGATACATCACTCATTCGGTAATGCTTTAACGTAATAGAATAAAAAAAAGAACAATATCTAGATTTAATTATAAATATAGTTTTGTATGGGATATACGCTGTTTGAATGGTTTAATAAATAATATTTTTGTGTTATCGAGACATCATTGCAATACTGTTTCTTTTTTATGATTAATTTTTACTATTGTAATCAATACAAGATGAAACGAATTTCAAAAAAGTCTACTCATCAATTGTTTAACTGATATCTCTCGCTTATAATAATGAATGACGGATATGTTAGTTTTAAATTGAAATGATATTTTGGAATCAATCTATGTATGAAACTATTATGTTTTGATAAATCGTATGAGGGAACCGTCTGATATGGTAAAAAGCTTTTGAGTTTAAATTTTGTCTATAATTAAGTAATATATAGACTTTTTACTAGAAGTTTTCTATAAAATCGAAGTTTCCAGTTTTGACGTAGGACTTTGCCCATACTAAGGCGTCAACTAGAGTAACTCATCTATAAAGT